TGTCTGTCTGTCAGTCTGTGAGGAAGTACTAATAGGTAAATATTCTCTGAGAAAGGCAAGGGGCAAGGGAGAGGAAGGAAAGGGACATATGGGGTCTGTGACTCAGGGAATCTGGGCACTTCCAGAGCTGGTCTGGCTTCACGAAACCAGGGAGCGGGCCACTTCGCTGGAGAGAGGTTTTCCCTGTAAAAGAGCCAGGAAGCGCTGAGTCTCCAGGGTCTACAGAGCAGCCTGGTGGCTCCAGATGGGGGAGGCTGGGGACACAGGTGCTGAGTCTGGAGGAGCTTCACAAACCAGATGACCTCACGGGGCGGGCCTGTGTCCAGAAAGCCCTCTGAGTTTTGAGTCCTGATGGGCGCGTGGGGCGCTGTGATGTTGTGCTGGATGGTCTCCTTTGCTTCTCTCTCCGTGTGGCTGTCACCCACCCACCTAGGGATCAGAGTGCCCTTGCACTTGTATCTGCGCCAGTGGGGTTCTGCCGGGTCCGCAGTGTGATGCCCGTGGGTGTGAATAGGCATTTGATGGCACAGAGAGAGAGGCGCCGCCTGTCCATCTCTGGACAAATTGTATCAGTTAGCTGTCCCAGTGTGGGGTGGTCAGCAGACATTCTGACGAACCCCTCACCTTCCTCCCAGACCCTAGACATCCGTGTCATGGCCAAGTTAAAGGTGGGGGGGGGGGAGAAAGAAAGAAAAACCTCCCAACCTTCCCCCAGGCTGTCCAGGTCAGGAGAGGCAGAGAGGCCCCGTGGGCAGAGCAGGGGGAGGGGTGCCTACCCACAACTTTGTTTTTTGGCTTCTTGGTCTTGATAAATGCTTTCTCCGGGGGTTGCCCCTCTCGTGGCAGGGAGCCGCCAAAGAAGAGGTTTAAGAGCTCTCTTCTTTAAGCGCTAAAGAGAGATCCCTCCCTGAGTCCGTTTTTCCCTATCGTCCGCTTGGCATTTAATAATGTTAAGACTTATTAGAGCTGGTAATGAAAACTGGGGCTGTTGAATAGGAAACTGTGTTGGAGAGGGGTGTAATAGCTTCCAGGCATGGTAAGAAACTATTTATCCGCAATCAGTCCTCACTCTCAGAGTTTGAAGCACAAACGTTAAGTTGAAGGGTTTTAAAGCAGATTAAATTGAGCTTTTATTTCTGTGCACTTTCATCTCTGAACAGCTCACTCCTGCTCCCCTTGGGCTGATATTCATGAGACTGCTCGTGTTTTTTTTTTCTTTTTTGCTCTTATCCTTGTTAAGACTGAGTTATTAGGATTGTTGGTTGTATGAATTCTCAGACCACTGCCGATAGGTGCTCCAGCCAAGCTCTGCTCACCTGGGGAGGAGGGTGGACAGTTCTGTACCATCCCTCCCTCCCCGCCCCACCCCTGTCCACTTAGATGCTCTCCTCTGCACCCCTTTCTCCAAGGATCAGGGGGTAGGCAGGCCGGCCATGGAGCCAACAGGAAGAAGGTCTGAGGAGCAAAGAGGAAGAAAAAAAAATATTCCCAGAATCTGAGCTCAGGGATTCTTGTGAGGAATCTGATAGGGGCTTGCAAAGGGTCAACCGCTTCCTCTGTAGGAGCTGGGGGCTGGGTGTGTGTGTAAAGAAATCAGCAATAATGTCAACAACAATAGCAACAGAAACCAACAGTCACCTAGAGCTGTGGGCAGCTGTCAGTGCAGGAGCTGAAAGCTCAGCTGACCAGATCTGACACCAGGCTCCACTCTGGCCTCTAGGACCAGAAGCCCAGCGAGGTTACAGTGAACCTGCATCCTGAGCAGAGTGACCGGAGTTGCTTTCTTGTGGCCAGAATAAAACTCTGAGAGTCAGAGTCCCCTTTGGAGAATCTGCAGATTTTCCCGGGTCTGAAAGACCATCATGGGAGGTGGGGGTGGGGTGGGGTGGGGGGTCCAGGAGGGGATGAGCCAGATTTGTTTTTCTTTGCTTTTATCCTTAATTTATTTTTAAGGCTGTAAACTTACAGGTGTGGAGTGGGAAGTGACGGGGAAGATGGGGAAGGAGGGGAGAGCCCGGAGTGTGGGTTTTAGACACTTGTAAAGGGAGGTGGGAAACAATTTAATTTGGCAGCAGCGATAGCGCTAATGCGGTTTTCGGTGGTTTGCTACACTGGAGGAAGCTGTTTTGATTGTGTGTACAAGGACCTGCCAAATTTAATTAGGCTCCGGGGGAGCGAATGAATAGGGGAAGGGGGGCCCGCTCCCCTTAGCCCACACTGCCCCCCCTCCCGGGCTCTACACCTGGAAGGGACATTGTCAGTGGTCTAGGTGAAGTCGGCAAAGGGAGGGGTCCGGAGGGAGCGAGGCCTTGGGAGAGGGGGCGAGGGAGGGGAAGCAGATAGTCCATTTATCAAGAAACAATCTGCATTGATTTAAACCAACAAGTTCTCTCCTCTGTAAATGTGTGTTTAGAGAAAGGTAATTGACACTCCACCAAATCAAAGGATTACCCCGGGTTGGCAATCTAATCAAACAGAGTCCAGGCGGGATTTGAAGCTGTTCAGAGTGGGATCAGCTTCGCATAATGGGGGCTCCAAGGAAGATGGGAGGGTGTCAGGCAATTCCCCGGCTTTAGGCAGCGCTCGGCGGTGGATATTCAGAGACCAGAGGGAAGGAGGGAGGGGGCGGCGAGGCTCCGGCGGCCCAGGCGGGGGATGGGGCGGGAGGGGTGCGGGGCGCGCCATACCCCGGAGGAGGGGGCTCCCGGCGAGGGGGCGAGCCCACACTGGGCTGACAAGGCTCCCCCTTTTCTTCCCTCCATCCCCCCGACCGAAGAAGAGGGGGGCAGGAGGGAGCGGAGACTAACGAAGAACAACAATGAGGAGATAACTGTTACAAAGGCAAACACTGGCGCTCGCGCGCGCGCAGCCCCAGAACCCGCGGTAAATAAACAAAGTCGGCAAAGTGTTTGCCAGATAAACTCGTGCCTAAATCGAGTGTGACGGGCAAGGAGAGAAGAGACAGAAGGAGATAAGGTTGGAGGGGGAATGAACGAGCATAATCTAATAGAAGACATTTAGAAAACAAACTTTAAACAAGGGAGAACAGGCGAGCCGGGCGTAATGATCCGCCCCAGAGAGCGGGGAAGCCGTCGGGGGACCGGGCGCGGGTGGCGGGCCTGGGAGCCGCGGCGGAGCTGGGTTGGGGGGGTGTCTTTGGGACTCCACGGGGAACCTGGAGAGGGTCCCCTCGGGCGCGCCAGGATAGGGGCTCGGCTCCCGGGTGGAGGCTCCGGTGCAGCCCCAGCCTCCGGATCGCTGGCGCGTCTAAAGGAGCGGGT